TTACTCTGCTACCTAAAAAAACACACAATACATTTCAAGTGTGCCATCAGACATTTATGAATAGTTACTTTTCTACTGAGCTTGGACGAAATATACCTACCTAACATTTCAAAGGTTATTTTCCAATTAACTTTCCAGTTGGTGTATGAATACATCAACATATTATCAACCTGATTGCTCTTTTATTCTGCGGAGCACGGGTATTGGTCTTATCAATATATATATTTTTAATGGGGGGGGGGGGTCGAAAAATTTGAATAGAACCAAAGAAAATTAATTTACATCTGAATTTGTTTGTTCGTTGTAATCGTTGCCAACAAATTGTTCATCTAACCAGGACGACGTCTTACAGTGAGTGATGACATCATAAGTTTTTGTACCTTCTGTGTGCAAGTATACATCTATTGAATTTATCGTTTAAATGTATTCGCTGACCTACGTTTTTAAGGCCGTCGCAGTTGGTACAAAATATGGAACTTTAAAAAAAATGTAATTTGTTACATGATATAGAGATTAAAATTGGGAAACACCCTCTATAGCATTCATGTTTACCAATTGTCTTCATTGTGAAGTCAGTTACACAATAGTTTCAGCACGTTTGTTTGTTTGTTTGAGTGTTTGTTTGTTTGTTTGAGTGTTTTACGTCCGCTTCATAGATCGGCTATCCAGCAGACAAAACGCATCAAGACAACTCACATCTGTATATATACATACATTTGACAGTAACAGTGACGTCACTAGAGGTCCGACTCCCGTATGTGTTACTGGCCGTACACCTGTACACGCCCGTCTGACCACGTTGTATGTTGGTGAGCTGGAGATCTGACCCTGTTGTGTGGGACTGTCCATTCTTTGTCCAGCTGTAGGTACATACTGGGTTACAGTCAGACGAACACGTGACGGTAGGGAGAGTCTGTCCCTCTATAGGAGTGTAGGATGTAGTTGGTGGTGACAACCCCACACTGGAAGGACCGTCTNTCACATCTGTATATATACATACATTTGACAGTAACAGTGACGTCACTAGATGTCCGACTCCCGTATGTGTTACTGGTCATACACCTGTACACTCCCGTCTGACCACGTTGTATGTTGGTGAGCTGGAGACCTGACCCTGCTGTGTGGGGCTGTCCATCCTTTGTCCAGCTGTAGGTACAGACTGGGTTACAGTCAGACGAACACGTGACGGTAGGGAGAGTCTGTCCCTCTATAGGAGTGTAGGATGTAGTTGGTGGTGACAACCCCACACTGGAAGGACCGTCTAAATTAACAAATAATCAATAAACATATACCATACTAGAAATTTGATTTTGTTGTCCTGTTTATTCTTTCTTGTGGAATAATGTTAAATCTCATTCTACATGGTAAGTTTTATAAATACAAGTTAATCTTTCTACCTCATACATATTTTGCTGTAAATCTGAATCAAACAAACTCTATTGTTTCTAGACATTTGAAAACTTAAACTGAACTATTCGAACTATTCTGTAGCAATATATATTATTTTGAAAATGCATAAGAAAATAATTTCTTATTTATACTTCTTACTGTGTACTTCTTGCAGCATTTTTCTTTCAAACGTACATTAATTTATTGACGTCAAATTTTCAACAATAATCTAACAAAAACGTAGCAACAACGCCAGTCAGTAATTCAAAGTTATAAACCACGTTTGAAAATTTGCAACTTTATAGTATTGTTACAATAATATTCGATATTTTTACATTATTTCAAGGTTGTTTAATCAAAATTGAGTCCCCTAGGCCCAAAGGGTTAGTTTAGAACATTAGGATTAAAACTCTTTAGCCCTACGCTAGAAGAAGGATTTTAAACTTTTACTTATATTTCCCCTATGAGGCCCCTCTCCTCTGCCCCCAGGGGGTCACATCCGCTGGTAATACGAAAGTGAGTGCCCTTGGCCTAAGGATGTTTCAGCCTCAATTAGGATAAAATCCCTTAATCCCTCCGCTAGAAGAAGGATTTTAAAGAGTTTACCTCTATTCCCCTATTTGGCCCACTCCTCTAACCCGTGTGTGACCACAACCACCGTTTATACAAAATTGAGTTTCCTTGGTCCAAAGATGCTTCAGACTAAATAAGGATACAATCCCCTCATCCCTATGCTAGATGAAGGATTTCAAAGGTTTTATTTCAATTTCCCCCATTTGACCCACCCATCTACCCCCAGGGGGGCCCACCCACCATTTATACAAAATGGAATCACCTTGGCATAAGGATGCTCCAGACCTAATTGGGATGAATTATTTTTTTATAGTTTTACCTATATTTCCCATATTGGGCCCCTCTCCT